CAAATTGCATAGCTAAATACGGGTGAAGACGGTGATAATTTGTATTTTTGCATCTATATACACACATACAAAAATAATTATTTCTTTTTGTACACGGTTTTTTGTGTGAGAAAGACTGCACCCAAAGCCGACTAAATTGTTGATACTTCGAAGCCTGCTCATCCTGACTATACAGTTTACTTTATCCCCTTCTCATGTGTCTGTCCCTGCAGATCACATGTCAGTGGCGTTCCGCCTGTGACCAATACCACACGACCTGCTCGTGCGCTTGTCCACTCGACGTCCTTCTCCGCCATCAGCGACGTCTCTCCGTTGCACCTTCCGCGCATTCAACGTCTTCGACGTCGTCGTCGTCGCCAGTCGAAACATTGCCGCTCATCTGCCCGGATCATTGTCGCTTCGATCCGCCGCCCGCAACCACGGGTCCCAGCGTCTGTCCGATGGCCTGCAGTGGCAGGATATTCAAGATCATCAATGACATGGACTTCGATGGACCGTCTCCACGAGCCATCCAATTGACCCTGGTACAGCCGGAAATTGTCGAGGTGATGACGGAGGAGGAGCTCTACACTCTGGCCAAGTTGTTCGGCGAGATCGGCGGCTTGTCCTCCTTCTTTTTCGGCTTCAGCTCCATCTTCTTCTTTGAGCTCATTGAATTGATGAGTCGGTTTCGCTGCTTTCGCCATCGATCCAAGTCGGCCCCGGCACCTGGCAACCGGCTTGGCTCATCTGTACCGAGGGTGGACGACAACTTACACCACTCAAACAGGTCGTCCGGCCCGGTCTGGTTGCCTCTTCGGCTCTGCAAGGCGTCAGATTGCAGTTCACCGTCCGAACCCTCTTCTCCGGACCATCAACTTGCCAAGCAGATTGTCATTCAGCGGCCGCGTTGTCTGCCCAGCAACCATGACAGCCCGATACTCGTGCACCGAGGCCTTAAAACGGAAGCTGGCAGAGAACGCAGATTTGGAGTGGCTCTACTCACTGTTTTGCTGTACGCAGGAGATGTGTTTCGCGTACCCCTAGAGATTGGTTGCTATGACACGGAGAGAAGTATGGGCCGAGTGAACGCCGTGGAATAGACGAAAAGATTGAGACCTTGATGGGTTTAGACTGTGCTAGGCACGGACCAAGTTTGCTCTCAAAACTCCTTCGGATCAGATAAACTTGCCTACATGGTGCATTTGACAACATTTTCATGTCCCTTTTCATCTTCACTCCTGTCTTGACACCACTTTATTTCGACCATCTCTCAAAGGTGACCACTTGGCCCTCTTCTTTAGGATCAAATTTTCTTTGGTGTTACGCCATATTTCATAAATAAATGTGTATAAATAAGGTGGTAATTTGCATTTCTTTTCGGTATATACACATATACCCACATTTTTGTTTGTGTTTGTATACGGTTTTTTCAAACGCATTCATACTTAGTATGATCCGTTTTAAGAGTCACTTACAAACCTCTCCCACATTAGTTTATAAAATGGACAATCTCTATTTTGAATTAAATCCCAAGAAGCTTATTATGATTTTTTTTAAATAGCATAATTTCCCTTCTATTTGAACTTAAGCCAGTCTAGGCTTCTTAAGGTGATCGTTTAATTATTCCACAGTTAAATGAGTAATGATCTAGAATGCTCCCAATTCTACTCATTCGGTATTTATAATTTTTGTTCTAGCAAAAGTGTCGACGATATGTGTTCTGCAGTGTAACTTGGTTGATATTTTGTAAGCAACTACTACTACTAGTAGTAGTACTACTAGTAGAATGTTATAAATTCTGGTTGGCACAACTGCCAACTCTCGGGATATACATCTCAGGAAACGGTTGGCAGATTCTATAAGTTTGAGCTTGTAAACCTTCTAGGATGTTGGGTAGATCCATCTGTGAATGGGAAAAATTATAGCCAAACGCATGCTTTTACTTCAGATTATGGTCAGACTAAGATACATCAAAGGAGCTGGGAGTGCCATTGTAGTATTTCGGACTCATGCAAGGTTTCATCAAGAATTCATTATTGCGAGCCCGATTAATGCCACTTCAATATATGCCTACAAATTAAAATTGTTTGTATCCTTTTGCCGTTACGTTTGGATGAAAATTTGATCGGAAGGAATTTGTGAACTTGCCTATTCTGATTGGTGGTTTGAGTGAAGAAGTCCTCGCTACACCATCCACACTGAGCTTTCCCTTGTTTCTGCTGGCCATACATTTTTTTTAGCACAATTCCACAAACACTGGCTGTCCATTCGGTTAGCTACTTCATGCTGCTTCCAGCCTATTAACAGACTGGTCAAGTTGATACGGATATGACTAAGCATCCATTTTCTCTCCTTCAGTGCGAAAAGTAGAGTTAATGCATATTTTGCTGTTATGAGTGTACTATATGCATGCATTACATTCGAATCATCTTTTATAGCCCTTGCCAGATTTGGAGTTTCTTCTGATTCCAGGCTTTATTTTGCTCCATCTTCTTAGTCCAGTCCAACAGGACTACTCTTTCCTTCTATTCAGGAGGTTGGTAAGTCTGTTAAGTTCTATCAACTCTCTATTCTCTCACTTCACAGAAGAGTCCACATAACAACAAAAAAATTTGGCTTCTGACCTTTCTATCTGGCGATATTTTCTACGTCTTCTGACTTCTCAACCAAAACCTTTGAAGGCAAATTTTTGCTCAAAAAATCAGATAAAATGTTATTATCTGTGCTGCATTGTTTTAATGCCCCATTTCCTCAGTGGCTCGTATATCCTTTCCACGAGCCTACTTGATTGCGGATTCAAACACCATGGTTGTTTTTTAGTGATAGGTGAGAGTTAGCAATTATTTCTAATAACTTACTTTATTAACCTTCTCATTTTCTCGTCCCGATTATTTTGGTCTTTTACACGCAGACTTATTACATTCGTTTGCTTTATGAAAACTACTTTAATTACGTGAATATGAAAAGAAGGGGAAGCTGCATTTGTGGGTCTCCCATTCGCATCAATCCTCAAATTCATTCTTTTTCACTGAATGGGACCTCCAAAATGGTGGATCATCATCCTTTTCCGACTCTCTAGTAAATGTAGCCGTCTTAACTGCTATAGTAATTAATTTGATATATTGTTTCTGCGTATTCTTAGCTAGTGTATGACTGTTGCTTAAATTAGACGAACCTTCGATTGAGCCATAAAGCTGTTCGTTGAAATTGGGTGCAAACATTGTATACTAACTAAATCTCGTGGTTTCTCACACAATTCGTCAATGGAAAGAACTTATTTACTCCTGACGACTAAGTTGGTATGGCTTTTTGCTTGGTCGCAGTCCCTTTTTGTCGTATAACCTTAAAAGGACCTCGATTTCGCAACTCACTTATGTAATCAGAGAACATTAGAAGATAGTATTGCGTCTTCTGCTATTGTTTTCGTGTCGTCTCTCAGCAACGGACTGGGTAAATTCGCAGAGGCTAAAGTAAAGATGCCTACTGCGAAACCGGCAAAACGCCTGGGAAGGTATCCAGTCGAAGGTTCAGTACTGGAAGCAGACAGCACAACAACGTCAGACGAGGCAATAAAGGCTTCGATCTTCGAGATCTCCATGAGAACACGATACTAAACTGCAAAAACTAGTTTAAACCGACTCTTAATTATGTACAATCTATTACCTAAATCGGCTATCTTATGGGTGACTGACTTTTTTTTCATTTTTAATGTAGCGAAACCTTAAGTTGCTGATGTAAGGTTAACGTGTAGGCCTGTGTTGCCCTTCTTGCCGGAATTTTAGCCAACATCTACACCACATAAAAGCCAATGTTCTATATCTTGCTCGTCTGCCAGACTCATAGTCAGAAATTCTGGACAGAAAACTGCCCGGATTCCTAAATTTGCCTCACGTGTTTACACGTAATTCGCGATGTCGATTAAACTACGAAATTATTGTTTTT